CTCCTGCATGGTCCCTACCAGGGATGGAGCCTGCAATCCGGGAGTGTGCCCTGGGAGGGAATCAAACTGGCAACCTTTCGGGGCCTGGGATGATGCCCAACCCACTGAGCCACGCCAGCCAGAGCCATCTTTACTATTTTTAAGTGTCTAGTTAAGTCGTGTTAAGTATATTCACATTGTTGTGCAACAGATCCCCAGAATCTCTTCATCTTGCAAAACTGAAACTCTATACCCATTGAACAACTCTCCCTCATCCCCTCTCCCCAGCCCCCGGCAACCCACTATTCTACTTTCTGTTTCTATGACTCTGACTAGTCTAAGGACCTCACACAAGTGGAATCATCCAGCATGTCTTTGTAACTGGCTTTATTTCACTTAGCAGAATGTCCTCAAGCTTCATTCATGCTTATAGCACATAACAGGATTTCCTTTCTTTTTCAGATGGAATGATATTCCATCATGTGCATATACTATTATTTTCTTTATCCATTCATCCGTGGATAGACACCTGGCTGGTTTCCACCTGTTGGCTATGGTGAATCATGGCGCTATGAACATGGTTGTGCAAATATCTCTTTGAGATCTTGCTTTCAATTCTTTTGAGTATATACCCAGAAGTGGGATTTGCTGGATCATATGGTAATTCTATGTCTAATTCTTTAGGCAATTTCATACTGTTTCCCATAGTGGCTGCACCATTTTATATTCCCACCACGAGCGCAGAAGGGTCCCCTTTCCTCCACATCCTTGCCAACACTTGTTATTTTCTGAGGCCATCCTAATGGATGTGAGGTATGCAATGATTCCTATGCAGACACTATTTTCTCATTGAAGCCTTAAAAATTATTAATAAATTAGGATTCGACAACTTTAATAACCTAGCTTGCAAGTATAATAGGAGATACTTTAGAATTATTTCAAAACCGACCAAATTTTTGACATCTAAGTTGTAGTTTTATATACAACCCAGTTTTGCAGGCCCCTGACAGATGAAACACTGCTTCCCCAGGTGAGTGAGGAAAAACCAGGCTGCCCAGGAGAGTGGACAGTCTGTGAGTGGCTGCTGCGGAGCAATGGGGAGGGGTGAGCAGCGTGGAGCCTGCACAGCAGGGAGGTCCCAATGCATCCATGCCTTTCACTCCCAAGGGGCTGTCTCCTGCCCTGTCTCAGGTCTAGGGCGGAGAAGCTGAAGCAGACACGTGGGCTGCAGATCTGGCTCTGCCACGAACCAGCTGCTCAGTCACCTGGTCTGAGCTCCCCAATGAAAGGTCAGCCATAGAAAGAATGAGTGTATATGTCACAGGCACAGCGTTGGGAAGTGTAGAGAATGCAAGGAAACTGACTGGGACTTAGCAAACCATCAGCACATGTCCCCTGCTATTCCTGGGCTGCACGATCCTTACTGGTCCTTCCCCAGGTCCAGGCTGTGGATTTCCTCAAATTTGTTCCATAAACCTTCTAGGGCAGTGGTTCTCAACCTCCGGCCCTTTAAATACAATTCCTCATGTTGTGACCCAACCATAAAATTATTTTCGTTGCTACTTCATAACTGTAATGTTGCTACTGTTATGAATCGTAATGTAAATATCTGATATGCAGGATGGTCTTAGGCTACCCCTGTGAAAAGGTTGTTGGACCGCCAAAGGGGTCGCGACCCACAGGTTGAGAACTGCTGTTCTAGGGCATCTTCTGCGTGGCCAGCCCTGGATGGGGACCTCTGCTCCTCCGCACCCCCCTCCTCTGCCAGATTCCACCCACCTCTTGCTTCTCGTCAGCACCTGGCACTCCACAATCTCACCAAACACTTCGAAGCGCCTCTTCAGCTCGTGGGAGCTCATGTCGCTGGAGAGATTTCGAACATACACCACTCGGCCTTCGCCCTGCTCGGGAAGGGGGACACAGAGGGACCCAGTCACTGCCTGGCTTCCCGGGGCGCCTTGGTGGCAGGCTCCCAGGGATTCCTGGTGCCCAGGCCATGGCGCCTGGCTGAGCGAGTGGCACCAGCGGGGGCTGGAGTCAGAGAGGACCGGTCCTGCTGGAGAAGGGGGCTTCGGGGGTGGGAAAGGGACCCCCACGGGAAGCAATTGCTTCCTCGAAGAACATGAGCAGAGATTGGGCGGAGAAAACAGAGGGGCTCATCACTGTTAATATAACCTCGTACTCAGGAGCGTCCACGTTTGTTTTGAGTCTGAGACTTTTCTGGGTAGTGGCGGGGGGCGGGGGGGGGGGGC